TGAGCCACATGCGGCTCTTTGGCCCCTTGAGTGTGGCTCTTCCACAAAATACCACGTGCGGGCGCGCACTTACAGTGCGATTGAAACTTTGTGGCCCATGTGCAGAAGTCGGTATTTTGTGGAAGAGCCACACTCAAGTGGCCAAAGAGCCGCATGTGGCCTGTGAGCCGCAGTTTGCCGACCACTAGCTCTAGTGAAATTCTCAGGGACCGAGGTGCACAGCGCAGTGTATTGTGATGGTGCCTTTCTACGTCTGCCTGAGACTGTGGGCTCAGGGACAGGAGGATCTCATTACATCACTCATTGTATCTCCAGCATCCAGTAAAAACATGGCACATCGTAGGTGCCTGAAAAATGTGGCATTTACTGGAGGAAAGATATTTACTTTTATCTCTAGGAATTGCAGCAGGTAGGGTATTTAACATCATGCTGCCCTCCAAAAATGGGGTTTAAAAACCTGACTTTCAATCCCAGTGTGGAGAGGCTGTGTGGCTGAGGCTCGAGCATGAAAACCCTGGAGGACATAGTTTGGGCACAGCAGGAGGCCTGATGCTGCGCCAGGTGGATTGACCAGAAACAGAGAAACATGTTGAGACGATGCTGCCAGGAACTCTGGCCGCATGCGCTCCGGGCACTGTGTCCCTCCAGCCGCTGTGTTCCCAGCCAGGAACCGAGGCAGCGCTCGGTGCATTGTTGATCTGCCCCTGCCTCCAGCGGCCCCAGAGTCCACAGGCCATCGACCGACCCCCAGAGTCAGGCAAGAAAAGGAGTGGAAAGGTGGCACAACATCAACAGGAAATAAAACATTTTTATTGAATATCCGGGTAATATGTGAAGTTATTTTTAACAACAATCAGAAAACTACTGTGGAATTCACTACACGAAGTGAAACAAAATTTAAACCACCTCATCAAAAATGAAGGTAAAATACAGCTAAAGTAGTGGGCTCGCGGGCCACGAGCCATATGGCAGAAGGAAACACCCCAACATTTCTACAAGATACAGAGAAAACCCACACATAGAAACACTCAAGCAGGCAGTAAATATACACAAAGGCAACTAGGATCTTTCTAGAGCATCCGATTCTAACACTTTACACAGCTTTGTCAGAAAGGTACATCTGGCTTATCTGAGGGCGAATCTTGGTCTTAGAGCAGGTTCGGTCACTGACTTGTGAGAGGTGGTATAGTACCAACTGATTCGGTGGTGACAAGACCCACGTCTGGCAGTGTTGCAAGAGAATGCGTTAGTAGGACTTGAATGCAAGAAATCATGTGTCTTCGGCAGCTCGAACCTGCTTGTTTTGAAGTACTGTTTCAGTGTAAACAACGTAAAGCTGAATACAATAAAATGAGATGTCAGTTTCTGGTATTCCAGGAATTTTTACAAGTCAATCAACTCCCTCTCTTTGATTGGGTTTGGTCCTTTACAATGGAAAGATTCTCATTTGACTCTTCTGTTCAAACTGGTATCTAGTCTTACATCAAACCTTCCACATTTTCTAATATCTATGTTTTTCTTTCTTTTTTTTTTAAAAGTGTGGACCACCTACAGAAGAGGGAGAAGTTATTCTTTTGTCCTTTTTGTCTGTCCCAGTTCTAGAGTTTGCTATCACTGGTCTGAAAGGTCAAAGGGTACGCCTCTTCTTTGATGAGGAAATAATAATGACGAGAATTCAGGAAACCGCTAACCCCATGTTCCAAGTCTCCCACCAGCCCTTTTTGAATTCTCTTTGTGTTGTTAAAAAAAAGTGTGGCATGATACCCTCAAGTCTTCTGCCTAGTTTTCCTCCACTATGTTTTGATATTGGTGGCCATCAACTCCCACCTCAGCACATCCCAACTCTCTGTGGCCTGGAGTTCAAATGGGCCGCAGAAGTGAGCGGGAGAAAAGACTCGATGCAGTGTGACAACAGGCTGCCCTTCAGAGTGGTTGTCTGCCATCGTGGGGAAAATACGGAATATTGCACAGTGCTTGACAAAATGCTGTGTCCCACCCCGTTCTGTGTATCTTCCTTGTCCTATGCATAGCTTTTCAGTTCTGAGTTGGTCCTTTGTAACGAGAACTGTTTGTGCTACACACTTCGGGCAGTGCAGTAGAGGGAATGGCAGTATTGTGTACAATATCACTACGGGATAAATTGAGTGCTATCCACTGAGGAAACTACGTGTCTAAGCACACAAGGCAGTCACAGTGTTACACAGAGCAGTCCTTGAAGACTCTTATGGAATGACTAGTAGCTTCATAATAGTGCCATTTACTACATAATAACATTGAAAACATTTAAAAACTCCTCCTAAGTCAAGCATCTAGAATACATAAGAGGTTGCTTCAGTTTTCTAGAACTTGTTCTTGGTTTTGTTTCACCTTTTTTTTAAAGGACAAATTAAAACTTCTTTAAGTAAAAAGAGCATATAAAAAAGATCACTAGCTGTCTGTTTTGGCTTAATCGAAGTGCATTCAGAACTATGGCTAATTGTTTGCTTTTCATCTTTTGATGGGATTACAATACTGTCTGTGTACCACAAAGTAACTTTGTGTAATAAGCACAGATTGCTGTGTTAAAAATATCCTGCATTCCTTCTAATCTGGTTTTGTGTAATAAAATATCTTGTTACAAAGTCTAGTGTGCAAATGTTTTGGAATTATTAGCTGTGTGAAATCTGGAACAGAATTCACAGGATGCACATTTTGTATAAAGGTGATAATGGAGAGCTACTTGTTTCTTTTGAAATAGTCAGGCAATATTTCAGAAATGCTGACTTCTCCCCTCAGCATCTTCCCACCCACCCCCATCCCTAAACAAATGCACACACACATGCACACATGCACACACGCGCGCACACACACACATACACACACAACACCATCAAGTTGCTACTCTATATGCAATAACATGAAATCATTGACTCCTGTTCAGTTGCTCCTTCAAAGGTAAGAGTGAAGCCCTGGTTTTAGCTTTGTAGATATGTACAGACAGATGCTGTTCTGTTTTGTGGCTATACTTCCTGGAGGTCAGCCTGGATGCTGCTCAGATCATGCTAATTTGCCTGTGAAGAAATTCTACAAAATTGGACGCACCCACCAAATATGTGGTGTAAGTGTATCTTGGTACTCAAATGATTCAATAGAAAGCTCAGGTTTAAGTTGTCCTTTAAGATGTCAGTTTCACTGTACTAGTGCCTTACAAGTTGATATTTTTGCTGGGAATGCAGACGATACTATATTTACCATATACTAGTAATATATTATCAGCTCTCCTATATCTCAGTCAATTTACATAGTTTAAAATAGAACATCTTATTAAAAACATCTAGATATACACAGATTAGGAAACGCTTACAACATACAAATACACAAACTAGAAATAAATCTTTAGCATACTGGTATGTACAACTGTGTGATACAATAAATAAGTTCAGTCATGCTCTATCTACACATCATATTGCTTAAAAGAAGAGTAGATTTGGAGGGCAGTTGTATGATGAAGGACTCAGGGGCTCTCTACCTTTAAATTTGTGCAAATTAAAACAGGATTTGAAGTACCACTGAACTGTGTCAGGAACGCATGGCTGGAAAAAACGCAAGGACCCATATTACTGAGGTATTTACAGATACTGGCTAAAGAGCACTATGTGGGCAGATGCAGAAAGGCTTCTTTCCTTTACTTCTTGATGGCCAGCATGGCGTCAACTTCCTCCTCTACCTGTAGGGTGTGCCACTGGGCAATGGGTCGCCTGGGGTTGGCCAGCATGTCTGACCAATGTCGCAACTCGGCCCCGGTGCTGTTGTAGCCCACAAAGACTTTGCCGATGGCATCGTTCTTGCCAATCTTGTCATAGTCCAAAACAGTTACCACCACTTGCACTTTCTGAAAGAGGACACAAAATAAACATTAATCATCCAGCCCTGGAGATACCTCCCTATTACAAAGCTTCCTTGAGAGCTAAGGAATTGGAAATAAGAAGACTCAGTTTCCAAACATGTGAAAACGACTTGAATATGATGCTGTTCCTATTTTGCCATCATTACATCATCATCACCACTATTATTATCATTGTTGTCATCACCTTCAAAATACTCAGTAAATGTTCATTTTTAGTATGTATTTGGTACTCTTCTAAGTCTTTTACATACACTGCTCCGGTACTTTTCACAATAGAGCAGTGGTTCTCAACCTTCCTAATGCCGTGACCCTTTAACCCTTTTCGGTCCAACCTCGAGGCTGACTCGACAGACCAGGTGCTAGGAGCAGGTCCAATGTCGAGCAATAAGAACATTAATAAGTTCAACATTCAATCCCGTCAATTAATTTGGACCAGACTGTTCGAATTCCAAAAATAACATTGGACCACAAAGGTTTAATACAGTTCCTCATGTTGTGGTGACCCCCAACCATAAAATTATTTTCATTGCTACTTCATAACTGTAATTTTGCTACTGTTATGAATTGTAATGTAAATATCTGATATGCAGGATGTATTTTCATTGTTACAAATTGAACATAATTAAAGCATAGTGATTAATCACAAAAACAATATGTAATTATATATGTGTTTTCCGACGGTCTTAGGCGACCCCTGTGAAAGGGTCCTTCGACCCCCAAAGGGGTCGCGACCCACAGGTTGAGAACCGCTGCAATAGAGTCTATTAGTATTGCCATTCTATAGAGAAGAGATGGAGCTCAGAGAAGGTAAGAAGCCGGCCTGAGGTCATAGAAGGAATGAGTCTTTTGGTTCCCAGAGTCCATGCTGTAAACCACATGCTCTGCTGCTTGTGTCAACTCGTATTCATCTATGAATGCATTTGTTTCAGTTGTCTCATCCGGGAAATTTCTGACATTGACACTCAGACCATTCTTTTTCTGGTTACAATTCCCAAAGCAGCCATGTACAGCAATCCCACTCTGCGGGGAGGGGGAGAGCCAATATTTTCCATAAAACTAATCTAGAATTTCAGCTGGTCACAAAATTGTTGTGAATACCAGATGTGACAGTAGAGTAAAAGTCTTTAAAAAGTAGTAACCAAGTAAAGATAGTATTTTTCATTCATACATGCTCTCAATAAACATTTATTGAGTAAAACTACTATGAATCCAGCCCCGACATCAAATGGAAATAACCTTTTTGGGCCACATAGGATTTTATTTTGGTGATTCCATTAGATTTTGAGGGTTTCTGTAATAACTTACTTTTTTGAACTGACTGAACTGTCGAAAGCAAATCCATACCATTATCACATGAAAGAAAGACTTTTTAAAAGCACATTTTAGTTCTGCTTCCTAAGGAATAAATTTATTTAGTCAAAATATGCAATGACTCCAATCTAGAAATGGAATGCAAAGATAAAGGAAGACTTTAGAGTAAAGTAGAATGCATAACATTTCGTGGCGCATTAAAAAGAGCAGAAAATGCAGCGATAGAAGCCAGGGACAGATGGAGCCCAGTGGAGTGCTGGCCCTGTGTAGACTTTGTCCTCTGAGGTCTGCGTTCTTGCACCATGTGTGGCAGAGGGTGCCCAGGTGCAGGTTCAGATCAGAGAAAATGATCACTTCTCAAAGTGAAATGTAGAATGTGAAATGAAACACACTGTCCATAAAGGGCACAGCCTTCTGTCTTCCTTTGTGCAGCCTGGGATTGTTTTATGGCCAAGGGAATTAACCTACCCACTGGATGGTGTTTAGAACTGAGCTTGGTTTTCAGAAACTTTCCATGAAAATACATCAGGATGCAGTCAGGTTGCAGGGAAGGGGGCGGGGCGTTGGGGACCTTGTGCCCAAAGGTAACATGAAAGGGATGAATTTTGATTATTCAGCTAGGAATGTATTGATTAGTAACACTCAACAATATCCTTATGAAGGCGTTGGATTAATTTTTCCAGCCGCATGTATAGTTTATACATTTTGGGGGCTTGCGGAAAGGAATGCAACATTTTCATGTGCATTTATAAATCGGCATTTTTTTTCTTCTCGCAGAATATATTTCTTAGGGATAGAGACAGAAAGACAGATAACCCTATAACTGCAGGATAGAGGAAACCTAAACCCCTATGATAGCATGTGAAATGCTCAATTACTTTCTCTAGGGAAAGCAAAGATGTGGAAAGCAGCCTGCTGGGAAGGGAAAAATGAAAAGAATACATTGACTTAAGGAGCAGAGGAGGAGGGAGGCAGTGACAGGCGAGCCCATCCTTCCCAGGCCTACTGTACTCTATACGGGGCACAGGCTCTCTCCTGACAAAGTGTTATCTCCTCCAAAATGCTGCCCCGGAAACCCAGCATATGTTCTGTTTTTCATGCACTTCATTTTCAATATGTGTGCATTTGCTGCGATTTATAGTTGGAAAGGGACATTTATTTTTCAAAAACCGGGTACAGAATTGTCACTCAAAGGGGAAGGTTTACGATAGGATTTTTCATCTCAGTGCCCTGCCTGATATTGTTTTGCTGAATTAAAAAAAACCCCAAAATGCCAGGAGGTGTTAGTTTCCATAGGAAAAAGGTCTTAGAACTTAGAAGAGTTCACTGAACAAATATTACAAGATAAATGGTTGGAGATAATTGGATGTCTTAGGGGTTTGCCAGTGGGTCCGAAGCAGAGAGCTCACTGGTGCGGACTAGTGAACAAGTAATTGGGGGCAGGAGGCAGTGTCTTCTGCAATGTCATTTACTTATGTAACAGCTGTTGAAAGTAAACAAGGATGTCCACTTTGCTGCCATGTGAAAATGTACATGAGAAATGTAATATAAAAACCGTGAATCAATGTGAGGACGGTGAGATCACTGATTTTTAAAAAAATGCCCTATAGCCTGGCCAGTATGGCTCAGTGGTTGAGCATCGACCCATGAACCAGGAGGCTACCAATTGGATTCCAGGTCAGGGCACATGCCCCAGTTTTGGGCTCAATCCCCAGGAGGGGGCTTGCAGGAGGCAGAGCTATAATTCTTTCTCATCATTGAAGTTTCTGACTCTCTCACCCTTCCTCTCTCTGAAATAAATAAAAACATTAAAAAAACCCCCCAACCAAACGAAAAAAACACCTGCCCTATATAAATCACTAGCTACATGTAGCTGTTTAAGTGAAAAATAAATGAAGTTCCTTGTTCACACCTGTGACTGAGGTGCTCATTGCCCACTTGTGGCTGGTGGCTGCCATATTGGACAGCACAAATGATAAAAGATCTCCATCCTCACAGAGTTCTGTTGGACAGTGCTGATTTATATATTGCTTTAATCTACTGTTAGATCCATTTTCTAATAAAATGTTGATTTGAAAAAGAGACAACACTAGCATTGTGAATAGTAATAATGATGGGAACCACTTACTGAGTGTTCCTATGTGCTTGGCACTGTCCAAAGCACTTTTATATGCATAACCTTACTTTGATGTGGATCCTGTTATTACTTCTATTTGACATATGAGGAAATTCTAAGCCTCAGTTTCCTTATATGTAAAATTGGGATAATAATGGAATCTCTCTCATAAGGTTATTGTAAGGATTAAATGAGATTGTATGTATAAAGTGCTTAATGTGGGGCTAGGCACTAAATAAACATACAATAAATGTGGCTATTTCCTTAGCTTTTTCATAGAATAAAGGTGTGATTCGTTCATAAGGCTCTGCATTCTAAGAATAGATTAAAAGTAAAAACATGCAACTGAAGAGTATTCATTGACTTGTTATTCTGGGCCTGTAGAGGGCTCCAAGTTGTTTTGATGCCTATCCTTCATTTCTCCTTCAAATGTGGACAAACTTTTATGTTATGAAAAGATGGACCCATATCAAGTACTTAATAAAAAGTAGTGTTGATTTAAGCATTTTAACTCTCTGATACCCATTAAAAATTACCAATAAAATAACCCAAAATCATTGGTTATGAATTTTGGACTCTAAAAGTCTAACTATGGATATGAAGTGAGAAAACCTTAAATAAGTGAGAAAACCTTAAATTAAATTTTATTTAAAAATGGCTAAATAATAAGATCATATGCTATCATTTGGGCTACATGTAGCATCCTATTTTGAACATGTTAACCACAAAGTCTTCTAATATACTTCCTATCATAACAATTATTATCTGCAAAGTAGGGATTCATTTTTATAAAAATACCCATTCTCTCAGATTCAGAAACAAGGAGCTAAATTTAAACAAATATAGATACAATTTAGCCTAATTTTTCTATTGTTAATTGTCTTTTAAAAAATGTCTTTTTTAATTTTTTTTTTTTTTAGAGAGAGAGGGAGAGAGAGAAACATAGATGTGAGAGAGAAATATTAATTGGCTGCCTCCAGCATGCACCCCAAATGGGGAACTTGCAACCTGGCTATGTGCCCTGACTGGGAATCTAACCGGTGACCCCTTTGTGCATGGGACAACATTTAACCAACTGAGCCACACTGGCCAGGGCTGTTAATTGTCTTTTAATAATAAAACTTAAAGATACTGCATATTTAGCGTCAACCAATATACTTCCCTTATTGCTATTTTTTTTTTTCTGTAAAGATGTGCTTAGAAGAATTACATATTATGGCCTGGGAGTAAATAGTGAAAATTCAATTGTTCTGGACCTTTTAATCTTTACAAATATACATTTTGGGTTAGTATAGTTGTTCTATTGATGTCCTTTTTATTTCTGCTCAAGAGAAGGCCAGCTGTGTTTGGCTGATGAGTCAGCACATCCTGGGCTGTGTATTTTAGCCTTCTCTTGATGTAGCTTAAGCATCAAATGTGCATGGGAATAAGAATGGCAGTTCTAATGAAGGCATGTGCTCTGATAATGTACAGTGTCTGTGTGTTTAGCTTGTGTGGTCTGAATAAATGAAATTAAATGGGAAGACAAAATTATGTTTGACATTACCTGGATTTGCTCAAAGGGTACTTCAAAGCTGAATGACTCATTGTAGTAGGGGTTGAGTGTATTCTTTTTAATTGTTGTCTTCTTCTTCTTCAGCCTCTTGCCATTCTGCATCAGATGAATCTTCACATAAGGATCTGAAAAACAGAAGCAAAACGTTTAGGAGATTCGAGACACATATTTTAGATTATAATTTAGCTTATAAAAGGCCAAGAATTCCCAACAGGAAAATAATTGCATAGCATATAGTTAGTGTTTTTTAAAATTTAATTTTTTATGGAAAGATTGTAATCAACCTGTGGGCTATGTTTTTTTGCCATTGTATTGTCAATATTTATAGTTGGATTTAGAATATGAGAGCAGTGGTGTGCTGGTAAACCAGCTCTTTGGATAAAAAAATAAAATGACTTGACATGTAGCATTTGCCAATGTCCATGATATAAATACTGTCAGCATAGCCAATTTGAAGCTACGAACAGTTTAACGTCTAAAGTTCTGAATATTTAACAATTGGCTCCTGTGAGCTGGCACTGTATGGAAATAGCTCTTGATAGAGGACAAAGGAGTCGTTTCATTCATTCATTTACTTATTTACTAAACCAATGTTATTTAGACCTTAGGGATTGAGTAGTGAACAAAACAGACCATCCCCGTTTTTATGATGGAACTTCAGACTTGTGCGGGAAATAGACAATAAGCTTGTAAAGAAAAGAAAAGAAATGCACATGAAATTACAAGTTGAGAAGAATGCACTAGAGGAAAAGAATAGGATAGAGACATGATAGGGACTACCAGGTTTAGTATGGTGAGTCCAAGGTAGGAATGAAATTTTTAGACCATCCAGGTAAGGCCTCTCTGGGGAGGTAACTGAGATAAGAAGGTTGGAGGTAAGAAGAGGCAGAGAAAGAGAAAGAGACAGGAGAGAGGAAAGAGAGCCAGTGGCTGTGCCTGAGCATCCCGAGGTAGAGAAGAGCTTCCAGGGTTCAGGGAAAAGAGAATAAGCCAGCACACACACAGGTAATGAGAAAAGGAGCAGAAGATCCCCTTAGCAGCTTCCCCACGGCCTCGTTAGGTAAAGGTAAAGTAAAAAGTAGGTCACTGAGGCGGTGAGATGATTCCCATTTACAGTTCTCAGTACTAATGAGTAACTGACATACCTTCAAGTCACCAAGAACCAATGCTCACGTTCGAGAGGAAAATCTACTGTTTTCTTAAACATTTTTTCTACTTCACATATAATGCATGTTCATTATAGAAAAAAAAAAATCAGAAAGCAATGTTAAAAAAAAAGTGAAACTTAAATCACCCATAATTTTATTCTCCTAGTAACCGCTGCTAAGCCTTCCAACATTTCTTCCCTCTCCTTCAAAACATGTACAGCTGGGAGGATCTTGACAGATGATCTGGTCTGCCCACATATTTTTAGAAGATAAAACTGCGGATCAAAAAAATGTTCTTATCTTCCTCTTCCTATCCCCAGTAGAACATAACTCCTGAGGGATAGAAACTTGGTCTGCCATGTTCATTAATTGAATTTACTAAACAGTACCTGGCACTCTTCAGTTTTTGTTGAATGAGTACGTGGAACTTCCTTAGGGCCTCATAATCTGGGTCTCCTTACCCTCAGTCCTGTCTTCTTCCCATTGCCCCAAGGCCCACATTACTTGGGTTTTTCTGTTTTGGTTTGTTCGTTTTTAATGCTACATCCAGTCAAGGGAGATTTTAATCAAAATGAAAAACCAGATATAGAGATGAGAAACAGCTCTGTCAACTAACTAGTTGGACAGTTTTTTTTAGAAAAACACTGTAAATAGTAGCAAAGAAAAGGGAAAATACGGCTTGTGTATGATAGTGTATCTTGCTGTTCACAGCCAAGGTTGATTTTTGGTTCAGAAAGCTTGTTTGCTCATGAAGTTCCCTAGCTCCACCATCCTAACCCCTAGTACATCTACAAAATGGTCAAGTCTCCAGTTGCTCCTTGGCACTGACTAATATCAAAATACTAAATAACCCCCAAATCAACATTTACACTTCCTATGTTTGTGAGTTAAAACTTCAACCTAAGGCATAGGTTTTCTCAAGAGAAACACAATGACTATTTAGTTATTCATTTAAGACAGCAAATGACAAGAAAGCTCCTTGTGCATCTGCCATTTGAGTAAGCAAATTGAAACCCCGACAAGATATTAGTAATTTCAGATTTCGATGTGAGCTCTGATGTTATGTGATTAATGCCTCGGGGAGAACAAGGTAATGTAGAAAAGGTGATTAGCACTGTCCTTACTGAGGAGGCCAGGTTTGAGCTAAGAACAGAAAGATAGGGGAAGGAGCCAGTCATCTGAAGATGTGGTAGAAGCTTGTATCCTCCAGAAAGAGCAGTACATGTGAGGGCCCTAAGGTACCTGTGCTTCCATGAGATCTGAGAGGTAACGCTGCTAACCTGTGACTTTCATGAGCAAATCTGCCAGTTCCGACAATGACTCAGGGATACTCTGTAATCTCCTATACTTAACAGAGAGGACAGAGGGCTGGGAGAGGAGCAGGTTTGGTCTTGTTCTAAAGAGGTGGAATTAGTCTTTGCCTTTGCAGATTCATTCTGTCACAGGTACCAAAGCAACTTACTTTGCAGGCAGAATTCGCATCCAGCCATGACCACGGTGGCAGTAACTCAGAGGTCCTATTCTTTTTCACCCAGCTTTATTGAGATACTAGAGGCCCAGTGCACGACATTTGTGCACTGGGGATGGAGGGCAGTCCCTCAGCCCAGCCTGTGCCCTCTCGCAGTCCGGGACCCCTCAGGGGATGTCCATCTGCTGTTCTGGCCAGCCATGAGCCCAGCTTCTGGCTGAGCAGTGTTCCTCCTGTGGGAGCGCACTGACCACCAGGCGGCAGCTCCTGCATTGAGCGTGTGCCCTCAGGTGGGCAGTGCACATCAGAGTGACCAGTTGTTCTGCCATTCGGTCAATTTGCATATTAGCCTTCTATTATATAGGATAACTGACATAACACTATGTAAGTTGAAGATGCACAATGTGATGATTTGAAAACATGTATTGTGAATGATTACCACAATAAGGTTGGTTAGTACATCCATCACCTCACATAATCACAATTTTGTGTGTGTGGTGAGAACTTTTAAGTTCTACTCTGTTAGTAGCTTTCAAATATAAAATATACCATTACCAACTGTAGTCACCATGTTGTACAGTAGATCCCCAGACCTTAGTCATCTTATAACTGGAAGTTTATACCCCTTGACCAACATCTCCTTCACTCCCCCCAGCTCTTGGCAACCATCATTCTACTCTCTTTCTATGAGCTTGGCATATATATATATATATATTCCACATATAAGTGAGATAATGCAGTATTTGTCTTTCTCTGTCTGACTTATTTCACTTAACATAAAGCCTTCAATGTCCACCCATGCTGTTGCAAATGGCAGGATTTCTTTATTTTTTGTGTGTGGATGACTAATATATATATATATCTCAACGCATTTTCTTTTTATTTTATTTATTGATTTTTAGAGAGAGAGAAAGGAGAGAGAGAGGGAAGGGGGAATATTGACTTGTTGTTCCACTTATTTATGCATTTATTGGTTGATTCTTGTATGTGCCTTGACTGGGGATTGAACCCACAACCTTGCCCTTTCATATCTCCCTAAAGGAAACAGGAAATCGGAGCCTTATTGGCCCTTTTAAAGGCACAGAGGAGTAGGTAGGCGGGCCCAGAGGTGAGTGAGTATTTTGCCATGTGGGAATGTGTTGCTGAAACAACCAGGCCCACACCTGACATGCTCCCACCACAGGCTGTTCCTCATAGAGAATGTGAGATACTATGTCCTTTAGCCTGAAATGTCATTTCTTTCTTTTTCCATCTAAGTCTGGGTTTAAAAATCACCTCTTCCCTGAAGATTTTACTGATGATTTTCTCAGAAACTTTCTCTTTGAAAGACCAACCTTTCTCCGCCCGCAGGATTTTCTTTTGTGTTTGCACACAGTCCCTATTTTCATTTCCTGGTTTTGGAGGACTTCTGTGGCGATCTAATAACAGATAAATGATATTCCTATGGGAAACATTTTGAATTCAGAACTACTGGCTTTGAGATGAGTTTTGGGAAGACCATCCATCCACTTGTAACATGGGGGCTTCTTCTATGACTATTCCACACGCTAATACCCCAGCACATTGTCTCGGCCTTCTTCCCTCAGGCAGTTCTGATGTCAAATTATGCCAACTTCATAGAAATATAATTGCAAAACAGCTGGCTGTAAGCAATGATCCTTTTGTCTGAGATGCAAAGGGGCCACTAAAGACTTTTTCTATTTACAACGAGAACTAGAAAGCAGCAGTTCAAAGCCGAATAATGCAAGATGCCTGCAGTTTTCATTTCGACAATTTTGCATAATTATACCGTCTTCTTTCTTAACTACCACAATGACCGGGGCCCTTGTAACCCGGCCTTTTCATTTCAACCAAAGACCTCCCTTAATACAAAACAGCCTCATTTCAGCTGTTTTGTTCAATCCCTCGAGCCAGGATCCAGCTTCTGAGTGAATTCAGGTATTACTCCTTTCATCCTTTTTCCTTTGTATGATGTTCCCTAAATTTCAACTTACAGTCTTAGATGAGGAAAGTAATACTCGTATCAACTTGGGTTCTGAATTCCAAGTGACTGAAAAATCCATTTCAAAATGTTATAAATTGGAAAGGTAACTTATTGGTTTATGTAATGGAAAAACCCAGAAGTAGGGCTGTGTGGCAAAGATTATTAATTGTCTCCTAAAATTGATTTTCTCCCTTCTTTTTTTAGCAATAAAGCTCCTGGAGTTTTATTGCTAGCTTTACCTGGGCACCAGCTAGAAATATTTATCCCAGACTTTCTTATGACTCACTATGGCCAACTGACTAACTTCCGGCTATTGGAAGTGAATGGAAGTGATGTGTGTAAACTCCACAGTGTATCCTTAAAATACTGGCTATTTTGCACTCCACTCCCAAGACATTTGGCAATGTCTGGAAACATTTTTTTTTCTTTTTTTTTTAATTTTTTTATAAAATATTATAATAAGTATTACAAAGGGTATTACATATGTGTCCTTCCCCCCCCCTTGACAATCCCCTGCCCTCCCTT